AGCCATCAACACAAGCAAACAAGGGAATAAGGGGGCGGGACAACCCCCTCCTATTTTGGGGCTCAAAACCACATTTCTACCGCTGAAAATCCACTGGATTTCAGTGGTGAAGAGGCCAAACAAAGGTGATCTCAAAGGCCTAAATGGAGAGCACAAAACAAGGCCAAATAAGGCACAAAAGGGGGCAGACCACCCCCAATACCAAAGAGGCCCCAAACAAACACTTTAAGCACTTGAAAATGAAGCTTTTTGCAGTTTAAAGTTAATCCAAAAGAAGCATGCAAATAGGGTCAAGTAAGCAATATAAACAAAGCTTTAAAAAAGATAAAGACTCACCCTTGAAGAACCACTTCAAAGCAGCAACTTCAAAGGTGAAAACCAAGCTTCAACCACTCAAATGCAACCTCCAAGGACCTCAGCTCAATAGTGAAGGTGTTTCACTAGGTGTTTGTGTAAAAAGTGTGAAGAAAAGGCACTTTTGAGCACAAACAAGTGCAAATATAGAGAGAGAGGGAGCAATATAGAGAGAGAGATATATGTATATCTCTATGCAAATTTTTCTGAATCCTGGAAAAGGAGAAAGTGCCTCCCTTTTATAGAAAACCAAGCCTCAAGCTTGTTGAGAAAGCTAGAGGCTTGAAGCAACCCTTTCATACACGTGTATGGGGGATACCTTCTGTGCCCAACAATTGGCACAGCTGGCAAGGAAAATATCTGCAGGAAATGTAGGATGCCCGCCGACCAACCAGTTAAACTGGTCAGCCGACCACCTCAACTGGTCGACCGACCAGAAAAAGTGGTCTACAGGAACAAAAACTGGTCGGCAAGGGGGAAAGAGGGTCTGTATAGAGAGAGGAAGGTGGTGGCAAGCTGCTGACCACCTTAGGTGGTCCACAGACCACCCACCCTAACTGGCCGACCAGAAAAACTGGCTAGCAGGGAAGAAAAGTGGTCTACAGGGGGAGAAAATGGTCTACACCCCTGTTCCACTCTCCAGGGAAAGGATAACAAGGTTTGGTTTAAAAACAAACCAAAAAGGAAGCAAGACAAGAGTTTGTAAGGCGAGGCACTCAGTCGGAAGCCCCGAAAACTAGCCTACGAGCACAAAAAGGGGACCTATGAGAGGGAAATATAGTCTACAACCATAGAAAGTGGTCTACAGACCTCTGTCTCCCTCTAGGCAAAGGCAGCACGGCATGGTCCAAAAACTAGGCCAAGGGGAGAAAGTTAAGAGGTCCCGAGACAAGGCACTTGGCCGAAGGCTCCAGAAACTCAAAACGAGCACAAACATGCACAATCATTGAGTGCTCAAACGATGACGTCTGAGTCTTAAGGTCGGTCAAAAATGGGGTGTCTACAGTTGTCGTTCTTAAGTCAAGAAATGACAGGAGTGAATGTCAAAGCCCAGAGATAACCCATTTTTGACAAGGCCGAAGACTCAGACAAACAAGCAAGATAATAGAGAGATGGTCCGCAAGCAAGGGCAAAATGCAAATGACATGCACCATGCAAAACATAACTTATGATTATTCAAAGAGGACTGTAATGAAGCACTTATGCAAAATAAATACAACATTTTAAGTGAATGTTATGAAAAGAAATGCTACAACAAACTCATACATAAGCAAGTAAACACGAACCAAACTACATCTCATGCAGAAAGGATGTAAGAAAATTATACAATTCGCACTGCGTCTCACACGGAGAAGGACTAAAAGCGACTATTGGGGACACCCAAAGTCTCAAACGAAACACCTTCTAGCGTATCAAACGCAAAAGGAGAAAGGCATCCAAACGCGTGTCAAACGCGAAAGGAGAAAGGTACGTCCAAACGAGTGTCAAACGCGAGAGGAGAAAGGTACCAGTCAAACTGAACCAGAACTTCCCTTAAATGAACCATACATACAATATCGTCTGGTTTCATCAACTTCAAATAAACCGTACATACAATATCGTGCCTGTACAAAAGAGAGATTTTGACAAGTACAATGTAATAGGATCACATGATCAACGCTATATCAAGATACGATTTTAATACAAGATAAACACGTGCACATATGATGCTAATAGAAAGGTGCATAACAATGCATGGGAGATGTGCATAACAATGCAAGTGAAATGGTGCATAACAGTGCAGGTGGAACGGTGTATAACAATGCAGGTGGAACGATGCATAACAATGCAACTAGAACGCGCATAACAATGCAAGTGAAGAGTGCATAGCAATGCAAGTGGAAAGTGCATAACAATGCAACTGGAACGTGCGTGACAACGCGAGTGAAGAGGTGCATAACAATGCAACTAAAGTGTGCAAAACAATGCAACTAAAGTGTGCAAAACAATGCAACTGGAACGTGTGTGACAACGCGAGTGAAGAGGTGCATAACAATGCAACTGAAGTGTGCAAAATAATGCAACTGGAACGTACGTGACAATGCGAGTGAAGAGGTACATAACAATGCAACTGAAGTGTGCAAAACAATGCAACTGAAAGGGTGCATAACAATACAAGTAGAGTGTGCATAACAATGCAACTAGAACAGGTATAACAATACGGGTAGAGTGTACATAACAATGCAACTAGAACATGCATAACAATGCAACTGGAATGTGCAAAACAATGCAAGGAAAACGGTGCATAACAATTCAAGTAGAACGGGCATAACAATGCGAATGAAGTGTGCATGACAATGCAGGTGTAGCGCGCATAACAATGCAAATAAAGTGTGCATAACAATGCAGGTGTAACGCACATAACAATGCGAATGAAGTGTGCATAACAATGCAGGTGTAACGGGCGTAACAATGCGAATGAAGTGTGCACAATAATGTAGGTGGAAGGGTGCATAACAATGTGTAACAAGCCCGCGAGGGACCTCGCTACAGCTCGGACTCGATTTTTGTAGTCACGGTTCTAGGTCTGAACCAAAGAGTCCAAATCCGGCAAATCGTTTTGAGAAAATTGATTTTTGAAAGAAGTGCCAAACATGGACTGCTTTGCCAGATAGAGAGTCGCCACCTAAATGTTTTTTTAATGGGAAATTTAGGAAACCCTGACTCGGTGCCAAAGGCCACGTGTCCGTCATCACCAAAGTTGCCTCGGCTCGGGAACTTGGGTACGATTGGGGAAGGTCACTTCGTGAGCACCCCCGCTCGCCCGATCAAAGATCGGCCTCTACTAACCGTGATATCTATTTTTGAAAACTTTGTGTGTTCTTATTCCGGTTATTAGCCTAGGTTACTATGTGATGCGCACAGCATACAAGTATAGACTGGATCGCCTGAATTGGAACAAAAACATTTCATGTTCGCTTTTTGAAAATGGTTTGCTACCCGCTGGTAGGCTTGAAATATTTGATGATTTACTCCAATTCAGATAACCCAGCCTTCACCCACAAGCATTCAGGCAGTTATATCATATAAGCACATAGCCTCATGGTAAGCATGCTATCATGGCATTCACTTACACGTATGCAAGGATGCTAAAGCATAAAGCTCACCGGGTACTCCAAGCCAAAACAAAAACTACATTAGAAATCATGTATGATCCTAAATATACAGAAATGCCTAATGCAACACATGCAAAAATGCAAACTATAGCAGGCTCGGCTATTCTAAGATGGTATATGAAATGCTACAGCTAAAATGTATTCAATTTGGAATTGAAAGTACAATGCAGTTAGTATGATGCGCCGAGCCCGGTGCATGCAAAATAGATGAATGATGCAAACATTTTGTCATACTGTATGCTAATTGAAATATGCCCTAATCTAACCATCATAAGCAGGTAAATAAAAGGGAAGAAAGACGTGGGGTTGGAAGACATACAACACACACACGCACACTTATTACAGTTGTGCCCTCGCGCAGAGGGTCCGAATAAATATACAGTCCCAAATAAAAGAATATTACAGTCCAAATATTACAGTCCGAAAATATATACAAATTCCTACTTAATTAATGAATTAACTAAGAAAGCTGTAAAACTGGCGTGCAAGCCAGGGACTGCCTCGCTTCTGACGTATGATGTATGTTAGGCTGCTTTGCGCGGAAATCCACCGGGATGCCCCAATTAGCCTCTGTTTAGCAGTTATTCTTGGAAATGCGCGCCAAGTCCCGGAAAGTTGCTGATTCCTGATTTTGCTGCAACAGAGAGCAAGAAAGGGGCATAGCAGTGTATTTTCACAAATATATGCATGCCTCGATCCTCATGCCACAAATCATGCATACCGAGGCATGATGGCCGAGGAGTCGAACTGCACAATTTAATATAGGATGAATGCACATGAAGACAGCTAAAACCTAACTCCATCATGGATGATCCGGAGTGTTGGTGACTGGGGAATTGAGACACATTCCGTCACTCGGAGTACGAAATGCACCTCGTTTCCCGTGCCCGGGCTAACTCCTATTCCGAACACGATGCAATATGCATGATATGCATGAAATGCAACTAAGATACAATCCTAACATACACAATGCTATGAAAATGAGACGCCTCGAAATGCGTGCGCACGGGCACGTAAACCGAGAAAATAAAAGAATGTGATCTAAGATACAACCTAGTATGCACAATGCTATGAAAATGAGACGCCTCGAAATGCGTGCACACGGGCACGCAAACCGAGAAAATGATATATGCAATGCAAATGATATGGAAATGCGATATGGGCTTACACTAACATGAGAGAGCCTCAGCCACACTCACATAAGAGGCCGGTAGATGAAAATGAGGTGCCTCGAAATGCGTGCACACGGGCACACAAACCGAGGTAATGGAATACGCAATGCAAATGACATGAAATGGCATATAGAATGCAACATGAACTTATACTAACATGAGAGAGCCTCAGCCACACTCACATAAGAGGCCGTAATCTCATAATGAGCAGCAGTGGTGTTGGGTAATTGGATCCATGATGGTGATGTATATGCAGTGGGTGTAAAATAATCCTTAAGGGTCCGGTTAGGCACATTCGGGACATCAGGATTTGCCATCTTTAATGGCTCAATGTATGAATACGAATACTTAAACCAAGTTCCCATCTGTACTGTGGCTTGTGCCATGATAAATATAAACTTTATTTGAAACAACTATATCTCTAATGCATTCACATCCACACAATATAATTGAATAGTCTTCTGAAAATAGAGGGTGACGATGCATACCTATTGACAACTTCTGTGAAGAGAGTGAGTTCTTCAAGTGTCCCATAAACATCAAAAATATCATCTATTAAGTAGATGAAAGAGATGGGTTTTGTGAGCTCAACTCTTTGCTCTGAGAACCTTGGATCTGTGAGGGCTGCCATAGGCCACATGTACCATTTTAGAGGTTGGTCTCTAGCGAACTTCAGTTCACTCGCCAAACCCGTGTCTTTCCACCACCTGAGATCACAAAACTACAAATTAAAGCAGAAGAATCTTCGTATTTGAACAAACTTAACATGCCTGTCATTGAAAACAATTTTGTTCATTCACTTAACACGAGTTAAAAAAAGGTGAGGTGGGTCCTAGTTGAGGTAATAATTCCCACTATTATAACTAATTAGGTAAGAGAGTTTTCTTTATCTACTTGTTAAGTGAGTGAACAAAATTAGACTCACAATATTCTCTGCACTAAATTAAAAACAAAATCTTACTTTGATACTTGAAGTATTTCTTTTTGGTGTGTGAATTGAACCATGTTAAAATCCATTTTCGCCAGTTCTTGCAAGACATTTTCCCATTCACTTGGGTTCGTGTAATCACTAAGGAAATCTCTTGCCATGAACCTTGCTAGGCTCTTGTGATGGGGATTTCCCAGTGTGTTGCTGACAACTCGAGCTTGATGATGAGAAAGATGTGGCATCAACCCGTTAAGGACTCGGGTACTAAAGTCTGCGGCTTGATCAAGAATGTCTTCTCCTTCTATGCTTAGCTGTGAAGCTTCATACAAACTCATCAACCCTCTCATATCTGCATTTAGTTCTGGTTTGAACTTTCCGTTCTTAGCCTTAAAGTTGTTAAACACATCTGTTCCATTACCAATTTCCCATTCATTTACACTTATTTCAAGCACAAATATTACTGATAAAAAAGAATTCAAAAAA